AAAAAGAATAAATAAAATAATTCTTCCCCGGTAAACAAAATTTTGACAACGGATGAAGTATAAGTTTTGAAAGGAATTAACGGGTATGTTGACATACCGTTTTTTTCTTTTTCTTTTTCTTTTCTTTTTTTTTTTTTCTTTTTGGAGGAAACGCTGCGCACAAGCTCTAATTTATTCCGCGAGAGGTGGCTGAGGATCGCGAAGCGACTACTTTTCAAGGAGAGCAGCGGTTTTCCGCCACGCTCTTTGTCGATGAACTCGGCGAGCTGGGACGGGGAATCTCAAGATTCGTCGAGAGATTCCAAAGTGGTGCGCGGTTACTCTGATTATGTCGTTGGCCGCGTTCCTGAAATTTCCCATCCAAAGTCCGGATAAGTAAACCGAGAGTACTTTACCGTGAACCGCGTCCACGTGTGCGCCACCTGCATACCAATGCGTCCGAGCATACGCGCGTTACAAAAAAAAAAAAAAGAAAAAATAAACGTAAGCGGAGTAAACGGAGTAAAAGTCGATGCGCGGCAAACTTGTGTACAAAGACAAGCCATTTTGCGACTTTCCGAGTCTAAGTTAATTCCTGGTGAATGTTCACCAATTAAAATTTCCTCGCTTGCTTAATTCACGATTTAGATTTCATTTCGCGTCGGATTTTCTGACGAGTCATTTCTATTGCTGATTACTGATAATTTTTCTTTTTTTTTTTTTTTACGTACTAATAAAAGTCGTAAAATCTCGAAAATAAAAATTGTCGTAAATTTTTCGTAAATTTTTTTAAAAAGAAGCGAGCATATTAGCGATAAGAATTACGCGATTACGACTCGACTGCTGATAATTCTGCGTTTATCAAACAAACTGCGTAAAATCGTTAATCAAACGTGTGTATAATCCAAATTATTAATTTTCATATCGCCAAGAGGTCATTTGTTTTATTTTTCTATTCTTTTTTTTTTTTTTTGTCGGCGTAGATTTCGGGTAGATTTTTTTTTTTTTAATTGGAACAGGTTAGCCGGAAACATGATAACAGTTTCGTCGATTTCGAAAGGTTTCCAGTCGGTGGAACAAAAGAAATCCACCGATTTCCATTTCGAATCTCGCGGCGATAATCCAATTTGTCGTGGAAAAAAAGAAAAAGGAACGAAGGACGTTTTCTCTCTTTTTTTTATTTAAGAGTAATTCTTCACGCCTAGCCTGGACGTTTAATCGGCCGTACGAACGAACGTTGCTTATCTTTGTAAACGTTGTTGCCGCGATAACTTCGTGTGCATAAGTTCAAATGAGCGTCGAGTTAGACACGCGATTACGCACGCTTCACGTGCATAAAACCGTTCGAAATCCTCCGTAAAGTACAAGAGACGTTAATCGCGGCTAAGTCGCGAGACACTACGATGGAATAATATTTGGATGGTGTAAGGGGAAGGATGAAGAGTTCTGTTTGAACGATATCTAACTTACTGCTTACTGCAAAAGATACGTGTAAATTTTATGGATTTGCGTTTCTTTGGGTTTTACCAATCAGACCACGTTTCCACGTACGAGATAACTATTATTGTTTCGACGGAGACGAGACGTTTGTTAAACTTATGAGTCGACAATTCTCGAGAATATTCCTCAATATTTTGAAAAAACATTCTCGAATCGTATCCACTTGAGAATAATTTTCGAAATTGAGATGGAGGAGAGAAAATTCGCGGAAAAATTTATTATTCGGTGTAAAATTAAGAATAATCAGGACCGTGTTGAACTAAGGAGATAAAAATAGTTATATCGCTAGGTAGTCTTTTAAAGGTAATCACTGTATCTGTACAAATGGACACGTATTTTCAGTCTCTAGATTATAAATTAGATGCAATTATCGTAGACAAAACATTGGCAAGAATATAAAGAGGTTCGTGACAAATTATATTTCACGGTTGTTCGTAAATCGTCAAGATTGTATAACGTTAATTTCTAATTCATAGCTGCAGTTTCCTAGACACGATAAGTTAAATTTATCTCGAAAGATTGAAATTTTCTTCTCGAATCTTCGTTACATTAAATGTGCCACTTGGATGAAATATTGCGATATAAATAATCCCCTGGCAAACGAGAGACAAATAGATTAGGTACACACAACACGTTCTCACGCGTTCTTCCATCTTTTAACTCCACCTTCAGCATCTAAGCCTTGTGACAACAGTTAGCTCGAGTTACGTAGTCTGTATACACAGTACTCGATTGTTTGCTCGAAGATAATTGCCAAGAAAGACATTTCTCGGCGAAGAAATAATTATTTAGTTAAAGACAATGGAGATAAAAATTTAAACTTTTGACATTTCCCAATGATTTCCCATTCCTGGAAAATTGTCGCTTCCTTGAAAAATCAAGTTAGATTCACTTTTTCCAGCCGGAATTTATCCAAACCCGATTCTCACGGGAATTATCTGGAATCCTGATCTTTTGTCCAGGGAATCTCTCTCTCCTGTCCTGTTCTACCCTTTAAAATTCCACACGTGGTTTTTCAAGATTGCACGGTGGTGGATAACGGAAAAGGGGATAGGAAAAAAAAATGCAAATAATAGAAAATGCGATTTTCATCGCGATGAAAACGCGAAAAAAAGGTGGAAAGCAGCTTTTGTTTGAGAACGTCGTCGCGCTCGCATCCGAAAGTCGAAAACTTGGTTAATCCCTCGATGTCGCGGCTTATGTTCTCTCATCATCACGTTTCTACTCTTCTACCGTTCGAAACAAGTAGTTTTTCTTATAGCAGCTGCGAGATAAAAAAAAAGGGGGGGGGGGGGGAATAATAAAATCTTTCCTTCGAACGAACAAAGAAAGATTTTATCGAGGCAAAAGGAATAGCGTGCTCGTGTTTGTCAAAAAAAAAAAAAAAAAAGTCGTATAAAATATATAAAAAGTGTTGTTTGTTAAAAAAAAAAAGAAAAAAAACAATAAAAACAAAAACGCGAAAATGGGGGAGGTTCTGGGTGACTGGCGTTGCGAGATAAATGGCAGCCATCTTGTTGAATAATATGGGAGAGGAGAAGAAAAAAGAAAAAAAAAAAAAAAAAAGAAAACGAAAATTCACCTGAAAAACAGTATAGGAGCGACGTTGTTGGTCGACGTGTGCATGATACGTTTTTTTTTTTGTTTTTTTGTTATTCCAGGAGATGGAAATGTCAGCTTCGAAGAGTTCGTGGAAATCGTGAGCAACATAGGTGCGAATGAAACCGCCCCCACCGATCAGGATCAGGAAGAGCAGGAGCTGAGGGATGCGTTTCGGGTACGTTTCGCCTTTTATCTTTTTCCTTTGTTCCTTGAAACGATGCGCGTTTCATCGCGGGATTGATCGCGAGCACGGGAAACGGGCGATGCGATGCGATCTCATCGAAACCGTTCATTTAACAATCGTCGGCCGATATATCGTCTCGGTGTGTATATATATTGCGTTCTCCGCCCGGCTAATTTAGAATGGATCGTTTCAAAGCGGCCCGACAACGCCGATTCTCCGTTCTATTGAATCTGGACAGCAGCTACGAGAGTTAACGAACGATGTGATGGAAATCGATAGATCAATCCGAGTGTCAAAATTAATCGTGAACGAGTATATAAAATGATATTAATATGATAAAGACAGGATTATTTGGTGTGGAATTTTTTCGAACATAATTAAAAATTTCAAAATTCGGAATATTCGACGAGTGAACAAACGATTAAACGGTGAAGGTTTTTTTTAGGAAGATTGTATGTACTAATCGAGAACGAAGATATAAAATGATATTGATATGATAAAGATGGATAGATGGTTGATTATTGGTGTGAAATTTTTCGAGAATAATTAAAAAATTTCAAAATTCGGAATATTTGAAACGAGTGAAAACAATTGAAGGTAGAGTTTTTTTTTGATCGACCGATCAAATCAGAAATGACGTTCACGTATCGCACAACAGGACAGGATTTATTTATGAATCGTTAAAACAGTTGCATAGGAAAGCAGTTTATATACTGGAGATCTCGGTTCCGTGTTTGGCCACGTTGAAATTTTCGAGACACGTTCGAACGAAATATATATAAATCCCCGATAATAGCGGTAGCCTGCATTCCTATGCGCATAATATAACTTACTGCCTCTACGTGAGAAGTGGGTGTCCGTTAGGAGGAAACAAATCTTCGCGGGAAACGAAGCCGCGAAGAGGGCTTTACGTTGCGCGTTTCGGTCGCAAATGACGTCAACCGAGTCATCTCCGCTTTATTAAACTTCTCTCCCATTTTTCTTCCCCTCCGACATTCGTCACATATCTTCGTTCCACGTCGAATTTATTAATCGAAATTTAATCGTTTCATCAACGCGATCCATCGAAATACCGAACAAATGAAATTATTCGTATACGAGGAGGACACTTTCTCCATTCCCCCATCCGATCCCACGTGGTTGGAAAGGAACGTAAGAAAACGCGGCGATTGAAACAGTTAAGTCGAGGACGCGGCTCTTTTGTTCCGTCGACGACGCGGTTTCCGTTCAACCGGTCCGTATCGTGGCCAAGCCTGAATGCAAACGTTAATAATAATTGTCAGATAACGAGTAACGAACGACAGATTTCGTTGGAAGGCACAAAGCCTTTTGCGCCTAACGAACGCTTCCTCCACAAAGAAACCAGACGTCCCGTTCCGTCCAATTCCAATTAATTCTCGCACGCGCGCCACGAATTTCTCCACTTTTCACGTCTCACGACGAAATCGAGTGTGTCGCGAGTGGGCGTAGCTCGTTTTTGGAACGAAAATGGTTTGAGAAGAACGTGCCGATGCTTCGAATGGTTTCGCCCGCTAGATTAGTTTCGAGCCTCGATACCTCGAATTTTCTACGAGCTGACTGACCGTCCCAGTTTATAAGCCGAATCGTTGCATCGGCAAGTACGGGAGAAACGGGGGAATTTATCGATCGAATTATCGAATTATTAAGTCATCGGATCGGAATAATAGGGAGCTTCGTCTTTGGAGCGTTGATTCGGCTCGAATGTCGGCCGAAAATCTTAAATTTAATGAAGCAAAATATTCAACTTGGAAACGTCTGGTTTGATGGTACGAGACGAGGCGTTCGAAGACGCGTTCGAGATAACCGAGTTCGTTTTGGCGTTGGCACGTCTTCGCGGCTCGCATGCTTTCAAAGGCATCGCGACGCTATTAAGCCGGTGTGCAACCGTGCACTTTAAACGGAAGTTTTTCGTTCGAGGAAAGAAAGTAGGTACGTTTAAATCGCGATTCCCTCGACGTGGCGTTTTATTGGCCGAGGGAAACGCTCTTCACGGAGCTTTTTTTTTTTAATAGAACGATCTATGTCCTTTTTTAACACCTTTTCGTCTCGCCATTTCACCGTCCTCGTGGGAGATTTCCCCTTTTTTTTGTTTTTTACATTTGCTGCGAAGGAGTAAATGAAACGAAAAAGTAAATGAAATCGTGTGGGCGGGTTAAATGGGATACTCGAAGAAGAAAATGATAAAATCTTTAATTTCAGGAAACTTTGTACGATCTTTAGAATACATTATTAATTTAAGTAAAAGTAAACCTCGTTTCTGAAAAGGTACACTTTGTGACTTTCTTTCTTTTTTTTTCTTTTTTTGAAATTAATTAATCGACGAAAAGTATTAAACGAATGAATACCGAAAAAAATGTTAACGATCATCGACCGACAGTTAATCTCAATTGATTGCCGAATAACTAATTTACTCGTTTATTCAATGGACGATTAAACGATCTTCCCGGATCGTTAATTGCGATTACGTATATCCACGTTAATCGCATTTCGCAAAACCAAATAATATTTCATTCGTTCTAATCGTCAATTACGTAAAATATTGGCCAATAATAACTGGGCTGTAATAAATAATCGTTCCTCTCTCCGAGAGAGAAATGTACGAAAATTAAGCGGAGATGCAGGGAAGGAGAGATAGGTAGAAATGGAAATATGAAAAATGGCACTATTCTCATCCGGTGAAAAGGAATTAGAACCAGCGTTACCAGCGACGATTTTCTGATTACCTAATGGTCTCCCATTTTTTTCGTTACCCTCTCCCCTCCTCCTCCTCCTCCTCCTCCTCCTCCTCCCCTCCCTTCGGTAGGAAATGTTTGCTAACTCTTGGTCGGATAACGGCACAAGAGCATCCATTCTTCTCAACGTGCATCCGAGGAGGGAGCGTTGGAAGCATAGGGAAGAGGATTCCCTGAAACGGTGTTAACAACGAGGGCCCCGATCGTCCCGTTCCAAACTTCTAATTGATAAATTAGAAGTCTTAACGAGTCTTCCCCTCCTTCCTCCTTCTCGACGACGAGAAGTCCCTCTTTACTTATTGCGAAACACGGATGCACCGTCTCAAAGCGTTGCTGCGAGTAATTTAAAATTTCCTCGAATCTAAGTTTTCCCATTTGTCTCAGCGAAATGCCTCTCCTCCACCCTAAACTGCTCTCTTCGACTGTTTTCAACCGACTCCGCTTGATTTCGTAAAGCTGGGCCGCGCTGTCCTTTTCTCCGTGGCGGGCGAACGAAGGAATTTCTCGTGGACCGAAAATTCTTTCGGTTCTTTCACTTTTCTCCTCCTCCTCCTCCTTCTTCGTTTCCGCGCATGTAATAATCGCAACGAGAATACTTGGCGAGAGTCGAAAGTTGGAAGAGTGGACAAAGAGGATCAAAGAGGGAGATATTCCTTGATCGGGGAAAGTTGTCGGTTTGGTGGTCCTCGAATTCGAAAGGGAGGAGGCAGGATTCGAATCATCTTTCATCTCGCGGGAGAAGTTGTTGTCACTCATCCTCCCAGGTGAGCAGGTGACAACGAAGAAGAAAACAAGAAGAAAGTTGTTGCCGCGCGTGACGTGATCAAAACCGAGATCGAACCGATTACGCCTCCCCTGTGCTTGCAAATCCCTGTTTAAGAATCCCTTTATTAAGAAACCGTGCCCTACATCCTGAGAGAATTTCTCGAGGGATATTTTTCCACTCGAAAAATCGAATTTATTTCGAGAATCCTTTCTTCCCTCTCTTTTCCCTCGATCTCTCTTAGATTTCTTCTTCTTCTTCTTCTTGTTAACTCGACAATTTAATCAACTCGTTACTCGTTAATTTCTAATTCTTATTCTTCTAAATTCTAAACCATTAGTTTTAACGTTGGATCGATCTAATCGCGTGTATTTTCGCGGGTTGTTCCAAAATTCGATGTACTCCACTCACGATGGATCGACGAGTGGAGTTGTTGATCTTCGGCCCAAGCGCAAACCAGCAACAAGTTTCCGCAAACCTGCGTCGAATCTGCCTGTTATTCGAGCATCGTAGCGTCGTTGCAAAAATACAAATATCGTCGTTTCGATAAATTTTATTTTCGAAACATTGTTCAACAACAACGCACGATGATGTATATCTCTTTCTCGTTCGATCGTCCTCTTTCGAAGAACGATGGATGAAATTTCGTTCCCGTAATCTGACGGAGTTTTCCAGTTTGCCCGCTTAATGCCACGGAGAGACAGGGCCGAGCTTATCTCGAGCGACAACGAGCAAGAATGGTGTAACGACCCACTTCTGTATTTACGTATGCACGCGAAATCCGACTAGTAATCACGAAGAAACGAAGAAGCCAGTTCTTAACGTAAAAGCCGAGGGAGAGAATCAAGCGGGATGATTAAGCGAGGAAGGGATAATCCTTTCAAGAGTGACTGGAGGAGAAACTTTTCTGCTGATCGGTGTAACAGGTTTGTCAGCTTTCAACCGGGGGGAAATTGATAAGAGACAGGGCGCGAAGATGATTCCGTCATCTTTGAAAAGTGAAACGTACGTACGTACGGAGAGAATCCGCTAATGGAATCCTCCTCGATCGATTTCCGTATCGAGATTCCCTTTCGGTAACCGCGCGTCAACCTCTGATGGACGTTCGAATAATTATTTGTAGGGTTAATTACGCGTATATTTATTTGATGTCACGAATCAATGTTCCATTTAGCCTCATACCTTTTCTTCTATAAATTTTATAAACAATATTACGATATCTTCGAAATCCTTTCGTTTTTAAAAGTTACGTGTATATTTATTTGATATTTATTCATCATATTTGATTAATAGATTTTGAAACGGATGAACGTTCGATCGTAATCATATCTTTTTTTCTGCAAATTTTATAAACAATATCTTCGTTTTTAAAAATTAGCACGTAGAAAGTGACAAATTGAGAGAGATGGTATCCGAATAATGTGGCCGAGTTCAACGGTGAACAAAAGATTTTTCTCGAGACTCGGCAAAACGTC